ATCACTATGCATCATGCATCAGGAAAAAACTTAGAGCAATATCTTTCCTACATCATTTTTAATTTAATTTTGAATGTTTAAATTTTGTATTCAAGCTTGTAGCATCAAAGTAGTTTTCACTTTTTTCATGTCATGCATTTACCACCACTCACTACACTACAGGACGACAGGCAGGCGCCGTACTGTGAACAAAACATTATGCGAAATTAAATCCCTTACTGCAACCATGAACACACTTTCGAAATGTATGGCCTCAAAAGGTATCTTGACTACAGCTTAATTCGATTAAAACGTAAAACATGAATGATGGAGATGTATGACGGGAGAGACCTTTTCAATCCACAAAGAAAGTTATATACAAAGCTGGCAGCGATGCGTAAGCATAATCATAAAAAGATAATATGACAGTAATAATAATGACACTTAAAAAATGGAGTCAATGTCGAACCCCGAACTTTTTTGCATGAGATATGGGACATGCCGATTTAAAGGTCGTTCATATTATGCACATATTATAGCATTTAGGTCGAAAATAGGCTACTGAAAATGCTCGTGACATGACCACGGCAGGAATATCATGAGTAAAATTTGCTATAAATTGTCATAAATCACTACCAACAACTACATCGGGCGTGGCTTCAAGATTTAAAACATCGCATGCTAGTTACAATTTTGTTAAGAAAATACCAACTGAAAATATCGCATTTGCTTCACGTTGCGCCTACGATCAGAATTGATCTATTACTCATTTAGATTTATTACAATGAATTTAGATATTTCTTAATTTAAATCCTACGTGAGGCAAAGTTTAGGTTATTTCCATAAACCGCAAAAAAAGTGAAAATATAAAAATTACAAATTTATAAATCTAACATCCGTTCCATTCATAACAAACGCTGGCAAAAAATGAACATGTCCTTACTCCCTTACCGTGCATACAGAATTCTAATCGTTTTGTCTTGAGCTGCAGCGGCGACGCGCTCATCATTTTTGCAATAAATTCACTCTAGGTGATTTTATTTACTACTTGACACCTTCTATGTACTTCTAAAGGCACCTTCTCTTACTATGTACATCTAAAAACAGAATTTTGACCATGAGTTATAAATACTGAACTACACCCAGTTAAAAGACGCTACAAACGCATCATCATCGCATAGCGTGTGCACTCATCAATTGTTCAACATGTAACATGTAAGGGTGAGTCTAATCTTCACGATGAATATCCAGTGTTCGAGGCTGGCCTTGCGCTCAACAGTTTACGATACACAAATTTTAATACACAAATTGTAATAATACAATTGTAATGTATAAACGATCATACATTACAATTGTATCATTGAATGTTATGATACACAAATTATATGTAATGTATAAACGAGACGATTTGGCATTTCAAAGTGTAATGTAATTGCTGTAATCTATTGGAAGTTCAGGCTTGGTTAATGTGTTAATTAAGTCTTTGACAGAATGATGCGTTCTCATTGCGGTTCTAGTTTCCGTGGAGTATTTTAGTCCCCAAGCGTTTAGTCATTCAGGGCAAGAAAGTAAGGATGTCTAAATTGCGCTGCGAAGAGGCGCATAATTGGAGCTATCGTGTTCCTACATCTCAGTAAGCACATCCCCACATGTTGTGTCAGTCACCCCTGCGCAGTGGCACGAGGCGAGTGACGCTCTTTTGCGATTTGAAGAAAAATACTGAATTTTTCTCGCGACACGTGCCATTATTCTTTGCATATTTTTACATTCATAGGACGAATAAACTTATTTCATATCTAAAACGCAGATTAAATTTCGTATCGTTAAAATCGCTCAACATTGCAACGTCTATTCGTTAACTCAATTAGCGTCTTCACCGACCAAAATTTGAAACGTTTGAAACCCATGTTTTTTATGTGAAGAGTTCTAGAGCAGGAAATTTTAAGTCAGAAATCAAGCACAAGACCTCAATATAATGACATAAATTAAAAAAGTTTGATGACTTCCCAAAAAATCTAAGATAGAGATTTACGATCACACGTTTGCAGAATGTGCAATTGGCACAGGCTTCTGAATGCGCTACTTGTAATCAGTCATTAGGAATTAGTTCACGGCCAGCTGTAGCGAAGACCGGAGAATTAAGTATCTTCACGATAATCATTGACTGAGTGGGTTACACGCATACTCATCACGTTCTGGCATCCTCAAGAATGAAACTTGTATAGTGGGCTCGCGTCCATCAGTCAATTTAGCTTTATTAAATGATGGTACCTCCATGTTTGATCGAAGAAGTGATGAAGGAATAGCGAAGAATTTTGGTGTTTCTTCGGTCGAAAAACAGTCTTATTCAAGTTAAGCTGACATAAAGAACACATGCAGGGATTAAAGAAAACACCCTCATTTAAATGAATACGTCATGATCATTTTAGTTATCAACCTTTTTGATTGCTAATGACCTTATCTTATGGGGGCTCAAGTGTTATAAGATGATAAATAGCTCGATAATGTGCCATACTGATGCTTGTATGTAATGCAATATTTTTAAATTGTACATAACTATCTTGATTTACTGGTGTCTTGCGTACAATAGAAGCGACGCACATTTAATATCATCCGGCTGATGGCGTAATAATTTTCGAACAAATGATGCTCACAAATTGTTCGATGTCTTTATAATAGGCAATATTGGTGTTCAAGTTTCTTAATGGACCTCTATCATTGAACAGATTTAATGTAATTGCTTAAACTTAAAGAGAGAGATGTTACACTTGGTGTTACTTACAAAAGTAAATACAGTAATCGGGAATAAACTAAATGCTTTTGGCTTTTTTCTGTTGTTCTGCATTTCAATTGAGGTAGAACCGGCTAACCAGTTCATTTTGACTGTACAATGCTACATTCCTGTCATGTAGAGTTAGGATCATTGCTCGCATAAAATGATGGAGTGCTAAGCATGTTGACTGATGAAGATTCGGTTGAATGTTTATACTAAATGATTTATTTTCGATAAATAGACAAAGATATCTGGCTGATGAGTTTTTTAAACAAATACATACGATAGATGTTCGACTGACTGTTCTTAGAGTCTACCAACTGAGGTTCATATTTGATTTGAGACAATTATTTGATGCTAGTTATCATCTGCATCACATTTAGAAACTTACATGGAGCAAATTTGACCCAATTCGTAAATTTGACAAAATTTTTTAAATATTGCATCGTTTTTCTTAGCCTTTGTAAAACAGAATTTGCTATCGCGTAATTGACGGAAAAAGAACAAATGGACTCTGATTTGTTTGTTAATTTTCACTTTGTGTCGAATTTAAAATTTTCTACGTATGTTAACATTCTACGAAATACTTTTGAAATGGCATATAGCCTGAGATTTCTGAAATATTAATATATGTTCTAGCATCGTCTAGCATCTTACATGCTGCTCAGAAAAACAAGAGGCTTAAAAATTATTTATATGTATTTTTTTTATTTTAATTTTTTTAAGAATCACTCACGATAGATATTTTCTGGACATTCGTACGTGACTGGCCGCGTTCTTTTTTATTTATGCGTGATTGGCCGCGTTCATATTTCATTCGTGAGTGATCGGGTGCGTTTGGTTGGCAGTGCAGGCCTCACGTTATCGTTCGTACTGATGTACCTCGTTCACTGCTACGCGGTTGACGCTCGTGGCGAGCAACTGCACCAGAGACGAGCTTCGTGCGGTCAGCAAAACCAACTCCTGGCTCAAGCAACATCAAAATGAAGCACCTGTACCTATCATATCATTTGTGCAGTAAAGATCTTAGCTCAAATCAAGAGCGACCTGTTATTTGATGAATTTACTCGAAAATAATTTATTATACGGTCTCGTTTAACGCAAATCTCATAAAGATTTGTTAAAGTTTCTTTCTGTGAGCGTGTTTGCAGCCTGCGCTGGAATATTCATCCATATTGAGAGACTAAGAAAGGATTTGATCGAAAATTTATATTCGATTTTCAAATTATTATTAGGAATAATGGAAACTGACGTAGTAAACATAGGATGTAACATTAATAACTGGATTAGAGACAACATAAATGACGTGGATTCGATCCTTGCAATTAAAAAATTGCAAGGATCGTATAGAGCCCGCGGCGAGCGCTGGGTTAACTTGTTAGTGCTCACTGATTTCTAATTGTTTGATATGATCTAAATGACGCGTGGTTTTAGGAATTCTAAAAAATATAATTTCGTTAAAACAAATTGCTTCAAGATTGGACAGTGAATATGTTTTCTCTGCAATTTTATATAGCAAATTCAGGATGGGGGACAAAAATTAATTTAGTGATGAAGATGCTTAACAAATTTGACCAATTTTACGACGCTACTTACGACGCTATTTTTACCAAGTTTACGACGCTATTTATGACCAAGTTTACGACGCTATTTACGCCGCTATTTTTACCAAGTTCACGCTGCTATTTTTGCCAAGTTTACGACAAATAACCAAGTTTACGACGCTATTTACGTTGCTATTTTTGACCAAGTTTACGACGCAATTTACGCCGCTATTTTTGACCAAGTTTGCGACGCTATTTACGCCGCTATTTATGACCAAGTTTACTGTACTATTTTTGACCAAGTATAAAACGCTATTTATGATCAAGTTTACGACGCTATTTTCAAAAGCATGATTGAGCATTTGTTCTGAAGCAAGCATGGCCTCACTAGAGCTCTACCGAAAAACTTTTTTTATTAACCTATATGGCATATATATGAAAATGTACCAATTCGAAATGTTACCAATAATTAACTTCAGTCAAGGTTCTTCGCATGATACGCTAGGTGTGTCATTTGTCGAAATACACCTTCAAATTTCTAGGATCTAAAAATTAATTTATCTGAATTTTGAACCTATCGTTAATTATATTAAAAATATATTGAGGTTCGATCGGTGTTAAATCTTTATTTTTTCTTTATTTTGTAACGAAGAAGGCATGCGATGAAAATCAAATATGACTTCGTTTGAATGCACAATAAATAACTGACCAGATAATATTTAAAGAGCGAATGTTTTTTAGCCACACAGGAATTTAGAACATATATTTTACGCAGTGGTCACGACACGGTGAACAAAAAATCACTACAATCTTTGAGACGAGAAGTTGAAAATCTTAATTATTTGTCTTATATGCAAATGGAAAACGCAGATCGTGTTGGTTTGCCTTGTACGATAATGAAATCTTGAAAAATAGGAAAAAGAACGATGTTACATTGATGTATGTCCATTAGTGAGGACCGTTAATTAGGACTCAGAAGTGACCATGAGACGTTCATCAAAGGAAGACGACACTGCAGACGAGGCAGCATCGTCTCCTCTGAACGTCCCGCCGTCAGACCAGCTCCCGCTTGACGATGTTATCAGCAAACTGGGCTTGGGTGTCTGGACGCTCATGTACTTTGCCCTGGCTACATTAAGTAAGTGTATTGGGCATGTATGTAAGTAATAATTTAATAGACATTTCTTATATTAGCTAAAATCTGATTAGGACCTTCATTTACTTTGACCTGGCTACCTTATTAAGTAAGTATATTGGGTAATTTAAGTAAAATTACTCAGTATATAGGTAATTTTTAATTTTTATATTCCTTATATCGGCCAATATTTGATAAAGACCTTCAGTCCTGAATAGCTACAAACGTTAATTATAGTACAATTTAACAAACCTGATGCGCTAAACGTCTCTTCTAATTCCATGATGTTGTAATATATTTAATTATTCATGAACATTTGACAACTTCACTCATAATTTATACTAGTTACATGACATACATGCAATAATGTAAATATGAACGTATTGGATCAGCAGAAATTATCTCGATGTTGAAGACATTTTATGGAGTGAATCATGCCCCGACTTACAAGTCTCCTAAATATATCTGTAATATGAGATAAGACATGATCGCAATGGAGGGTCGCCACTTGATCTACATATGGTACACATGAGTTCGTTAACCCAGAAACCTTGCACGGGGTGTCTATACAGTGGCCTTGGAGAATGATGTTCTTCACAAGCAGACATGTCTGTACCCATGTGTTATCAGGCATAGTTTCCTTTCCATTTATCAAGCTACAAACGGATAAAATAAATCCAATAGATTATACTCGTATTCGTGTGTATGTCACTTCAGATCGTGTGGTTGATTAGTATTGATAATCAAGCTTTAGTTTCAGAATACACCGCAAATAATTTTATTTGTGGTCAAAATTTATGGCTCTGTTGTTTGCTTCTTATATAGCGTCAATTAAATGATTGAACTGCTGCACTCAGACAGCCACCATGCATGTCGCTGTTGGTAAATCTGAACCATCGAGTTCACCATTCACGAATTTAATTTCAGATAGGTAGGTACTAATATTATTGCATTTATTAACGTACCTATTGCCTCTTTTCTTTTCTAAATATTTTTCCTAATTGAACTATGAAATATCATCTTAGTTATTAGATCGCTCATAAAATTGTGCAGACGATGGAGTTGATAATTAGACTCCTAGTTTGATCATATATGTTTCTTGAACACATCTCCTTGCGACACAATAAAGAGTATTGTATCAAACAGTCCCATGAGGCCATGACAAGTATTGTATCAAACAGTCCCCATGTCGATGCTGGTAAACCTGCTGGTCGCCGAGTTCACCGCAGCAGAAGTGGAGTTCGAGTGCGACGTCAGACCAGCGCTCCAGAGCGTCTCTTCGTCTTCTCCCGACACTCGCACATCCGAAGCCACCACTGCTGACGCCTTTCTTCAAGATCATGCTCATTCTCACGCATCACTCAGGTTATTGTTGCACAAATGTTTTAAAATCTTTGTTGAATTTTTATTCATTGGAACTTTAATTATGCTCTTCAGCGCTGCGGTCACTCATTAACATCGACCAAAATCTGTATCTGCACGAAAGATTTTTCGCTCTAGGGTTGTACAGAGAATGATGCAGCAAGTGAGTGTTGGAGAAAACAGTTTTTTTAGGTTTGCGTTCCAGTTTGTATGGGTTTCAGAAGATTTTTGATTACACTGTTTTACTCAATGATGCGTTGGGTTAGTCACTAAGTGTACGTGAGCTATCGAATGTCACAAAGCATTGCGCTGGTGCACATTGACTGTGATACACGACCATGTCACAGACACTGCATGTGCGCCTTCCAGTGACAGAGACATACTGTCATGTGTGTATGTATGTGTGTGTCAGTGTGTTAGCCATGTATGGGCATGACACAGCAGCAACTGACCAGACGACTGCTTTATAACGACATGCGCCAAACGATGTCTCAATGGCATCATTGGGACTTGGGGGAAGCCTTACAACTTCTTCAAGTGGTCGGGCGCTCAGGAGGCGGCAGTGCTTAAGCACAAGGCACGTAACTTCTGACTTCAGAAATGCGGCCTTCGTAAGAAGGGCTAATATAACTTATAAGTTGTCTAGCGTTTAACACCTGGAAAAATCGTGACTTAATTAGGTTGCACATTCTAAACAATATTTTTACCGGCATCGCGTCTGCGATCAAATCATCCTCAATTTTAAGCTTGGAAGATCAGTAGCTCAAATATATATGACTGGAAATTTATCGTTTGTTTCTAATATGTTCTTCTACGATTGCTTGTTTAAAGGTTTTAAGCAGGAAAAATTTGTACGTTTTTTTCTATGTTTTCTTATGTTTCCATTAATCATTATTATTCCTCGCCATTTCAGCAAAGAGTGTTATAACATAACGTCTACAAACATGTCGGCTCCTTCGTACACGCCGTGCACGTCTTTCATCTACAGCAACGAAACTTTCTCCTCTACCATCACCACGGAAGTAAGTTTGTCGTGTCCCTTGTCATCTCAAATGTTTTTCATTCTTTTCTACCACTTCGTAGTACCATATTTCTTCTCCTATTTCCATTCTACGAAAAAAATGGATGGCACTACCACAAGCTTACAAAAATAAATAGTAATTTATCTCAAGTCCTAGTAAAACGTAATTATTTATCATGAATTTTAACACGTCTAAAATATATTTCTCCTTGATAAGTGCACCAGTTGATTTGTATGTTGAAACAGGTGATTCAGTTGCACTAAGATTTTCTAGCAATGTTATTTTGTTTGTGTTAAAATCATTCTGTGTTTTGACGCCAGTTCGATCTGGTGTTTCTTCCTCAAATGAACTGCAATTCCCAAGAATATCATCATGTTTATTTGGTTTCTATCTTCTTAAATTTGGACGCCAGCTCGATCTGGTGTTTCTTACTCCATTGGACTGCAGTTTTCCATGACTATTCTCATGTTTATTTTTGTTTCCATCTTCTCGTATTTTTACGCCAGCTCGATCTGGTATTTCTTACTCAATTGAACTGCAATTTTCCAATTGAACTGCAATTTTCCATGAATATCATCATATTTATTATGGTCTCCATCTTCTCATATTTTGACGCCAGTTTGATCTGGTATGCTCGCGGGAGTGGCAGCGCTCGCTGTTCCAGATGCTCTTCACGCTGGGATGTCTGTGTGGCGCTCCCGTGGGTGGTGTGCTGGCCGACAAGTGAGCAGTTCATCGCTTTGCAATTGTATTATGTCAAGTCTCGGTCGATAAATACTTGAAATTCTACTCGTACTGGTTGACATATAACACCATTATCAAAAATATAAATAAATTTCATCGTTAAAACAGACATAATCGCGACCGTGATTTTTCCATTGCTAATGCAATTCTTCATGGTTCTAGGTTTGGCCGGCAGAGGGCGATGTGGTATGGTTGCGTGGTTATGGTGGTCTTAACTGTGCTCATCACGGCCGTACCTAACCTGGCAATAGTCTTCCTGAGTAGGTTCTTGCTGGGCTTTTTTACGGACATCGTCTTCATAGCATCTATAACTATAGGTGAGATAACGGTTCATAGCAGACAATTTTTTCATAATATCTATAACTAAAAGAACTAACTATGAAATGCATCAACTATAACTATGAACTGCGTATTCACAAATTCAATTCATAGCGTATAAAAAAGGGAAAATAACAGTTCTTAACAGACATTGTTTTACAACCAAACGAAAAGTGAAGTATTATATCTTCACACGCATCGTTTTCATAGCATCTATAGTTATAAGTAAGATAATATTTTCACAGCCGTCACTATCATGGCGTCTATAACTATAGACGAAATAAGGAACGTTCACAGGCGCCGTCTTCATAGAATATATAACGATAAGTGAAATAATCTTCACAATATCATCCCCATGGTAGTTATAAATATAGGTAAAATAACAGATCTTCACAGAAATTTTCTCCATAACATCCTCTAAAGAGGTTGAATAACAGAGCTAACAGGTAAAATAACATTCATCCTTTTCGCATGATCTCTAAAGATTGGAGAAGAGAAATTTCTTCCTATACATCGTCTTCGTAGTATCTATAAATAAAGGTGGGATATGAGATCATATAAGAACCTTTCTGGAGGAAAAAAAACGTGTATTCTTGAGCAAGCAACGAAGATGCTTCTTGGTATCCATTATTAAAAAATGTAATAATTCCTATAAACAAAATACTTATTACGGCGGTTAATTGTCCATTTCTTGCTGAACGGTGTCCTCTCAAAAAATTGGTAAAGCTTTTACCACAGTAGATTATATTTTGATTGAAAATTTTTTTACTGTTTTTTAATAAATGCATCCTAAATATCGTTCACTTCAGCAATTTCCTAGTACAAAAATCTAGTTGGAAGAATCCACACGTTAATGGCCTTTTAATACCTGTTCCCCCGAGTAGGTATAGAGACTGACCTCACGCCCCGGCATGTAAAGAAGTGTCCCGTTAACCCATCTATAATCCCTGGCTGGCTTGGATGCACCTAATGAATCCCCTTGCACCAAGTTAACCCCTCTATCTCTCCCGGCTGCCATGGAGGAACCTAGCTGTTAACTCTCGACCGACCCTGATCTGTCACCCAGTCACCCTGCCTTTATCCCTCCCCCGCAGGTATGGAGGTCTGCCCCAGCAAGTACCGCCACGTGTTCGGCACGGTCGAGAGCCTGCCGTATGCGGTGATGCTGCCGCTGCTCGCCGGCATCGCCTTCCTCTGCCGGGACTGGCGACCTGTGCAGCTCTGGGCGTCCCTGCCGCTCTTCATCGCCACCTGCATCGCCTCGCCGCTGTGAGCGACGCTCCTCTATCAGTTGATCAATTAAACTTTATTGAATAACATTATGGATTGAATTCCATGCGTTCATTCTTCAATATCTTAATGAACAATTAACCATTATGGTAGAGCAGCGGTGAATGAAATTAATTATTGGTTTTATTAGTTACGCATCCTTAGCAATGTCTCCTCAACTATTGATCAGACGCTTGTTTCTTGGCTTCCCATTCATCATCTAAAAGACGAGTATTTTAACAGAATTTAGAATCATGGACACAAGTAATTAAGGTACGGATATTCAAACACTCATTATCTGTAATTATTTCAAAGTTATGTTTGTTATTCTAACGTTAAAGTGTTTGTGCCAGCGTGCTGGACGAGTCGCCCCGGTGGTTGGTGTCCCAGGGGCGCCTGAAGGAGGCGCAGGCTGCGGTGCTGAGGGCGGGGCGCATCAACAGAAGCAGTGAGCACCTCCCGCCCGACCTCTACGACGTCCTCAGCAAAACACACAAGGTAGGACATCACTATAACGCTGATATACTTCACTATAGTGCTTTACTGTACTCAGAAATAAAAGCTACTACGAAAATCACTTTATAAAATATCATTATTTACTAATATATAATTTCACCAATTATGAAAATAACAGCATAAATTATTCGCGTCTCATATTTTTCAGAAGAATTGAACTTCAGATTTCGATGACACAAGCTATTAATTTAAGCCCCCTTCCTGTGATGACAAAAAGTCCAAATAACGGAAGACGACGTGATTTCCCAGAGCAAGCATGCGACATACGGAAGACTAGAGTGCAGGGGGACACAATTTATGGCTTTGTCCTTCAATTGGTTGCCTTCAATAAGAATTGAGATCACTACGTCCTACGTTTGCTATTTTGTGATTCCGGCTTAAATTTTAAAATTGTCGAACAGTAAAATGATCTCTCAAAAAGAGTCGATGACAAAATTTTGGGCGCTAAGAAATCAATAAATTGTGATAAATCGCTTCTTAATTGTGTATGTGAATATGTCACATTTCCCTTAAAAGCAAATAATTGATTGTTTGCCTAAGAAAGCCGTAAATATGAGTTCAACCACAATAGCTGATTTATCGTTAAGGATGAATGTCAGAGTGCAAACACATTAACAGATGTTTTTTCAATGAAGATATGAGTTTCTCAGAGTTCTACTACAATCATTGATGTTTTACGCAACCTGTGAATGTTTCAGAATTGCCTTTGAGCGTAGATGTAACATATTCGTGGATGCAACATATTCGTTAAACATATTCGAGAGCTCAACAGCTAATATATGACGGTTAGAGATGAACCAATACTTGTTCACCCCCCAGGAGCAGCTGCGTCAGAGCAGCGCTGACAGCTCAGGGTCCCTGAAGTCGCACCTCATGAGTCTGGTGGAGACGTCAGAGATGCGAAGACTCACCCTCGTGCTGACGGTGTTGTGGTTCTTTGAGGGCACCTTGTATATCAGCCTGCCTCTCAGCGCCACCACCCACAAGTATGCAGTATACAATACTGCAATGATACAGAATATCAAAAATAATTAGCTTTTTTGAATTTAAATGAATTTTGTATGTACTTGTTTTCATCAAGTGCACCCTATACTAGAGTCCGCTTCTCAGGGCCTGTTCTCTCACGCACTTTATGAGCAGATAGTATATAAGAAAAACATCAGAACCACACATTTACTTCTATTTCGCTGTGTCACAATTTCAGAAACGTCATTCTCAAACAGCGACAAAATCATAATGAAGGTTCATTATGAAGTACAGCCATGAAAGCATGTTTGCATTCGACATTCAACAACATTAAAGGTTTGATTAAAAATTCTGTAACTATTGCCAACCCCAAATATTTTAAGAACTGGTCGTGCAGGTCGCCGTTCCTGTACCTGGCGCTGCTGGGGCTGCTGGAGGTGCCCGGCACACTCGTGGTCACGCCCCTGGGGGGGCGCTACGGCCGCAAGAAGGTGGGCTTCATGTGCGCTGTTCTCACCGCCGCCATCATGCTCGCTCTGGCCGCTCTCAAGGCTGTGCATTTCCAAGTAGGTAAGATAATAATTATAATCATATGACAATGATTATTAATTACAAACTTTAAATATAATTATAATATAATGTTTCAGTAGAACTTTTGTGAAATTACTTCGTTATGCGTGAGTTTAGACGCAAGACTCAGGCTGGCACAGTTCATTCTTGCACTAGTTCAAGGATGTTCACGTCACTCCAGAAGGACTTCGTCGTTTTCCGAGCACGCTACAAAATGTGTTGCTTACATAAGCCACGTTATAATAGACATTCTCTTGTTTGTTTCATTCCCGTGCTAATATTTTCACGAGGCTTTCTCAGAAATAATATGTATGCATCGCTGGCTCATGCCTGATTATCAACAAATACGTGTATATGTCATATATACATAACTGTGTTAAATATAAGGTAAGAAAATACACTACTCGTTTCAGAATGGGTGGTGATGGCGCTTGCTGTGTTCGCATACATCACGCTGGTGGGAGTATCTCAGGTCTTTGTGCAAATTAATTATATATTTTGCAAGTAATTATAAGTTTATGAAGATTTAAATTGTTACATCCACATTCAAGGACGCATTGTCGAGTGGTAGTTGGAATTTTATTTTATTGCATGAATGCATGAAAGACTAAGGCATCCCTAAGTCTTTCAATATTTGTCAGGACAAAATAATTTATTGAGCAAGTGCCTCATGTACCGAGACGACTCTAAAGTTGACAATTTCAGCGATACCTTATCTCATATATTTTCATGCCCCTAGCCGACTTAATTAATAACAATTTTATCATTAATCTGCGTTATTTTCATGTTGCGAGACCCGATCGATTTCTCAGCGACATTCTCTCTCCATTATTTTGCCAATAGATAACAATGTCAGTGATGCTTCATATCCTTAATTTTACCAATAGATAACAATGTCTGTGATACGTTATCTGCTTTATTTATGACGATGTCAGATGACGCTGCTGCTGACAGCTGAGCTCTTCCCTACGACTGTACGCTCGCTGGGCTCCAGCGTCGGCTTCTTCATGAACAACCTCGGCTACTGCGTGCCACCTCTCATGGAGATGCTGCTGGTACGATATACTGCTATACTGCTAGTACGATATACTGCTATACTGCTAGTACGATATACTGCTATATTGCTAGTACGATATACTGCTATACTGCTAGTACGGTATATTGCTAGTACGATATACTGCTAGCACGATTATCTGGGTTTATATATATTGCAACGTTTATATACATTGCAATGAAATATAATATATATAATATTTTTCATGCATTGCGAAAAAAATATGATAAATGTTGGCTTTACACTCATTGCAGCAAAATACATTGAATCTTATGCTGTACACGCATTACTATAAAAGATTATCTAATTTTATCTCATGAATATTATAACGTGTATACCAAGACACTGCAGCAACGGCTCGTTCGATCGCTGGATTAAAACCACTCGTTTTAGTCAGTCTTGCACGATTCCCTTGTATCCGACTGAATTTTCTCCATGAAGAGCCCGATCAAGTGATCATATACATAGACAATTTCATGAATCAAGTAATTATAAAAAATTTCGAATCATAATGTTATTTTAAATCTTTTATTTATTTATTTATGAATTTTATTAGTCGAAGATTGTTACATTCAATGATTGTGTGTAAGTGACACTGGGCACGGTGGCCCAGTGGTTACAGTTCAGAGTACCAAGATTGGCGCAGAGAGGCGCGGGTTCGATCCCAGCTCTGTGCGCCAGTTTCTGGTCAGAATCGGCAAGGAGGCCGGGCGGTTACACAGCAGAATTGTAGCAGTGAGTTGCGAGTTCAAGACCGCAAAATGCTGTGAATGTTCTGCGATGTTAAGAATCGGCGACAGGCCTGCGGCCTAATAAACGCTGAAACTGCTATTATTATTATTAAGTGCTTGTACATCCCGGCAGCCAGAGGAGCAGCCTGAGCTGATGCTGCTGGTGTACGGAGTGATGTCGTTCGTGTCAGCGTGCCTGCTGCTCGCGCTGCCTGAGACCAACAACCTGCCTCTCTACGAGACCGTCGCCCAGCTCGTACAAGCTCGACGAATGCGACATTCTAATAAACTCTCAGACCACACCGACTCTATAGAACCTTAAGATAATAATTATATGATAAAGTTTATTGTAGTTCGTTGTTTATTCGTTTGGACTTTATGAAGTTTTAGTGTTTCCAGAATTTCAGGACTTTTTGGGTCGTAAAACATTAGAACTGAAGGCCAGGAGTATTTTAGTATGTTCACTTTATCGTAAGCTATCTATATAGTAAACTATAGTTCATTATATTATCAATCTGTAGCAAAGTTTGCTAATAATGCTGTTACATTTATTTAGTGAGACATTTGTCGACTAGCTTTCAAGTATAAAATAAATTCATGATCTCGACTAAGGTGCGTGCAGTTAGCAATCTGCAGTTTAGATTTCGGGCCGGACCCTCATACATCCTAAAATGTATGTATTTTTCATAATAACAATATGGTAACAATTTTTCACACTTTCAACTTACTGCTAACAACATGACCGAAGATTCTCGAACCTCTTATAGTATCAAGGCTTGTGACGCCACTGCGAGAAAAGTGTTTTTTTTTTATAGCACGATTTTCGAGTAACGACCACTTGTCTGTCTTGTTGTCGGAATAATGTGCTGAGATTAAACAATTTTTTAATAAGTTTACTTGTAATCATTAATTATAGCTCATTTTTAGTGATATGATAGGTAAATATATTTCAGAAGTTTTAAGATCACAATCGACGATCATTTATATCCCGTCAGTTACACTGTTAGAAAAATTACCGTTAACGGTATTACCGGCGTTTCAGTGGCCGGTCTGCACGTGAAAAGAAACACCGTGTCGCCGTTTTTATTCTAATTTAACACTAGAAATTCATAAAACATCTGATAAAAACGGCGAAACAGTTTATTTTCACGGAGCGACCGGCCACTAGAACGCCAGTGGGACCTTTTTTCACCGTTTTTTTCTAACAGACAGTGTACATTGGTACATCTAAGGTACTTATAGTACAGCAAGTTCACTTCTAATTTCACTGTCCTGCAGCTTGCGACGTATTTTCTATACAAAAATGACATGAGCGGTGAGGCAGTACGGCTTCATACAACATCATTTTATTATTTTTTGCTGCTCAAAATCAAACACATTCTATAGAGCGTAATAACAAAATTTAAGTTTTTTCTTCCCTGTAATAAATGAATGAAACATTTTTAAGCTGGAAGTTGCTTTCATTTAATTTTAACCTTACATGAAAATTTATATCTCTTTACATAGTGAACTAACTATGCTTCAAAATAAGAATTATTTTAATGAAAAATTTCTTGACATAAAACCAGCAGGACTAATTTACTATGATAGTTTAGACTTTAGAGGTAGGAAAACCATCGAATATATTACAAATATGAACTTTGTTGTGTTATTCTTAAATTTCCTCAGCATATAACCTGCCCTTTGGCCAGTTTACAATATACAAAGTATACAGTTTACATTATACAGCGTATAAAGTTTACATTATACAGTGTGTGAGTAGGAAGCCTTGTTTGCATAAGAAATGTTGTGAAAGAATCTGGTTTGTTTGTAGCATCGTTGATGAAACTTTCATCACATTTTTCCGATGATGTTCCCTCAAACATCTATGCACCTTTTACGTCTCATCACTCGAACACAACGCCTCGTGTATCTATCAACCTTTAAATTTAATACAAGCAGCATAAATAATTTATAGAAACCATAAACGTCTGAATTATTACCCTATTTTAGGGACAACTATGACCATAAACGTCTGAATTATTACCCTATTTTAGGGACAACTATGACCATAAAGTGACTGACGCAGTCATGTTGGCAACACTTGGCAATAGACTGACGCAGTCATGTTAGCAACACTTGGTAGGTGACTGACGCAGTCATGTTGGCAAAACTTGGTAGGTGACTGACGCAGTCATGTTGGCAACACTTGGTTCATTGTAACCTTACCAACTATATATACTCCTCCATCTCTTCTTGGGAGTTCCGTCCTGCCATTTCCGGCTCCCTTTCTCTCGCCGCTCCTGCACTCCCCTCCCTTCACATCACCCTTCTCTCCATTACACCCTTCCCCCCACATCACCCTTTCCCGTCCCTCTACCCAGCCTTCCCATCTCTCCTTTCCTATATCTCACTCGACGCCTCTCCATCCCTCTGCTCCCTTCCATCCCTACATCCCCCACCATTCCTCCACTCCCCTCCATTCCTCCACTCCCCTCCATTCCTCCACCCCCCTTACATCCCTCCACTCCCCTCCACCCCTCCACTCCCCTCCATCCCTCCACTCCCCAACCCTCCACAAAGGCATCCCTCTCCACGCCCCGAACTCTACACTCACCGATTACAAAGGCCGTTTGTTGGATTCATTCGCAACCTGCATATAAAAAGCTCCTGGTCTCGCCAATAATGTTATTCCTACGAGGCTTGCTTGTTTCCCTGGAGGCGGGTACTGACGACATTTGGGTGTAACCATACATATACGCATTAATGTTGAACAGAAACGCATAATAATTATGGCACTGCGCTGTCTGTTCGCGCTACCGGCACTCATTAATTTGTTAATTAATAATGCAGAAATTCAATTAAGAAATAGTGCGAGCTTTGCTGCATTAATTTACGAATGCTGCCGGTAAAGTTGAAATGAGTTTCGTGTTGTTGTTGTTGTTGTATATTTACGGGCATGAGATCGCCGAACTAACTATAGTCCTAGCTATATTAACTAACAATATTCGCTATAGTTATTCGGTAGAATTTAATTTAATATAAAAGTATTCAATAGATAAGAATTTCATAAGGATCTATTAATTTTAGAGTGTTCATTGATGTTGAAATTTTAGCTGACTGATGCTTCTCACTGACACTATAATAAAATATATTTCATTGTGATGTGTAAATAGTACATTTATTGCATTATCAAAAGCTCCTATACATAATATCGTTATTACTATTGCTCCTTTTGAGGATACAAAAATTACGTCGATATTAGGAACTTTGCAGGCTCCTCAATACTATTTACCGAGTATAAAAATTATCAAGCAAAATTGTTTCAAGGAATTTTTTTCATTTATGGTTTATCTTCAATATATGATTTGTTATCATATTTGTCAAGCGTGGGACTTATTTCAGGGACGTCATACAACAGTAAACAAGCAGAAAGTTTAATTTGTAACGTTAATCCGTAGCCTAATTTGTTCCACTAATTCGTTTAAAGTGCTTCAAATTTTTTATTGAAGTTAAAAAGTTATAGTTTTCATATCTTACTTTTTTTCAATTTTAGATTCGTCTCCAAATGGCTAATCGAATAATTAATCATAAATAATATTTTAATTAAAGATGACACTGACGTAAATTCAATCTTCGCCATGACAAGTTTGCTAGGTGCGTGAGGAAGCGTAGACTGTGCAATCAAGACTTCTCGCAATAATCGTAATTATTGCTGCTTTATGTGTGAAAATTGATTATCAGAAATAAAATTAAATTAAGTTTCTGAACCTTTAGATCAAATTCAGAGTCCTAAACAGGTTTGCTATGCCATTTAATTATTATTTTCAAATAAATTTTGTGTTCATCTCAAAATCATTATTTGCCAGAGACGCTCATTTCTATCAAAACCATGCAAGCCGCAGGAATATTTTAAGTTAAATTTTCATATGAATTGAAATAATTCCCAGTTTCGGCCCAGGCTCGACGCTGCAACACGCCTCTTCCAAGCCCCCGCCCGCCGGTACAGGCTGTATTGATTTTATGGAGCTTGTTCTCTGTGCATTGCGAGTTTAGTATTGCCTGTCTAAATAAAGATCTCCTGTTGATCTGTCATGCGCGATTTGCATGCCATGCGAATCGCGGTGAAAAAATCAATACCAGCGCAGCGCTGCATGTGCCTAGCGCTTAGAGGTCGTTCACCGACAGTGCATCGCACTATCGAGACATAATGTCGTTAAAGAATTGATGTTACTTATTTGCTCAAATCACAGGTTAACTAATAATTTAAATGCAAAGAATAGTCCAAAAAAATTTATATCTTTCTATAACGTGTTCTATAAAGATATGAATTTTTATGGACTATTCTTTGCTTTTAAATTATGTCATTAGTCCACTCCAGTGCCATCGTGAGCCGCCATTGTTAGTACATAATCACCTTAAGAAGCATTTAGGAACTTTGCATTTGCTCAAAACCAATTTGCCATAAATGCAGATGAACTTCATTAATAATTGTTGAATAGGGATGAACCTGCGATGCCTAGCGTTGGTTTGTCGTTCCTTTTGATATCGCTAGTCAGCTGAACTTCAAGTTCTTGTTGGGAGAGTATAAATGTCTACAAACATAAATGTTTAGTTAATTTTGAATGTCCATGGCGGTTTCGATTATTTTGTATTTTCATCCCCCAGCCACAAACATGAGTGTTTCGCTTTACCCCCACAAACTGTCTGGTTACATCGTTCATATCTTTCATATCTCCATCAGCCTCCGTCAATGCATCTATTTCCCGTTTTAAAATTATTTTCATCCTAATTTGCATTATCTCCCAATCGAGGAGAAACAAAAACAAATTATTGTAGCAGTTCACATAGTAGTTCAACCATTGCAGTTCTAAACTCAATTCCAGACTTTGCTTCTCGGAGTCGCGGACAAGTTTCACAAAATCCTTTGACTGACGTCCTTGTAAAAAAAATAGTATAATTTTGATGCAAATTTCCAGTAAATAATCGGTTATTAAACCATCACGCTGCTATACCATAACAAATTTAAAAACGTAAGTCTAACGTATAGAACCTAACACAATATGTCAGGCTTTCGTGTTCAAAAGCGGCGAGCAACGTGAGAATTTATGACTAACCTAACATACCCCCGTCTATGTGTGGTGGGAGGGTCTACCCATGGCATACGAGGGGGTGGAGGGAGGATCGTTCCTTTCACAGCGACTGGATATCTTCGTCCTGCTTTTGTGACGGCTTCGTTGCCCACAACCCCAAGAATGTGGCGTACATTCCCCGCCACTGCGTACCTACGTTTACGCTCTGTATTGCCTGGCGTTTCATGGGGCACGCAAGTGCGTTAAACATTCTAACTGGGCTGGCAGCAATACCCCTGCTTTGTTATAAATTATAATCAACATAAGCACGAAATTGTTTGATTAAAGGCTTTTTCATGTGTATACATTGACCTGAGACGTATAACTTGATCAGTTTACTACTTTGTTTAACTCGGGTTTTGACGTTCACTTATCACATCAACTAGATAATGATTTAAAGGTACTAAAATCACTTGATTGCTTATTTTGCAAATTATCAAGGAATAACAAAGAAGATGGCATAGAAATTCACCAAATCTTTTAAAGGAAAATTCCGCACTCTGTTCTCTTCACATTTAGATTATTATCAGATAGGCCAGTTTTGCTGTCGTATCTTCGGTAGATTTGTCTTCTATCTGTTTATTTCTCTCCATAATTTTAGGTTTTATTGTCTGACTTTGAATTTTGATCTATAAATTAATCGTATTTACATTATATATTTGTCGAACTGACGATGGAGCTGGACTCCTAAACGTTTTCCTTTATAAAGTAATGGTGAAGTTTAATGCGATCTTCTTTGTTTTTAAATTCCTTGATAATGGTTTATTTCACTCGAGGTTTATCACGAACATATCATTTCATCAATAAACAGATTTGTTCAACTCGGGGTCTAACACACACGTATAACTTCAATAATTAACAAATTTGTTCAACTCTGGGTCTAACACACACGTATTACTTCAACAATAAACAAATTTGTTCGTCTAGGGG